TTTAATTCAGTGAACATGTTTTAAAATGTCATTAAAAGTTTTTGTAATTAATGACATTTTGCATTTCAAGAGCGATGAGTTAGTGATGAATGGATTAATAGGAAAAGGAGTGAATGGAAGAGTGTTTATGTCTGGTATGAGTATTGCATTCACATAACAATAATCTGAAGAGACTTTAGCTTTCGCTTCAAAGACACCAAAACCAGAATTATTTATATAATAAAAGCAAAAATTGGGAGAAAAACATCGATTTCTCTATTATTTCTGCTTATATTTTACGTTCAAATCGTATTAAATTGTCTCTTATATGAGACGAGCAAAAAGATCTCAAATCTCTATTTTTGTGACAAAACTATTGAAATATTTGTCATAGAATTATAGCAACACTTTAAACAATTGAATTCAATTCAACTTCAGTTACTTTGTAACAAAAAAGTTATAAAAAAGTTATAAAACAGTTTATTTTCTTACCATTTATTTGATTTGTTAATGCAATTGATTTCAAATTAATATTTGACATTAATATTAATTTTTAATTCATTAATAAATGAGTCAATTATTTGCGGATTGTATCGATTAAATAGCAAATGTTTGACTTTGTTTTGATGTAATGTATTGTATAGACTCAAGTGTAGTGAAGAGGCAAACGATTGTCAAATGATTTTAAACTTTTTCCGATAGGTATTGAATGAAAGTAAATCAGAAATCAGAAATCAATAAAACATTAGCCAATGATAGTATCGATTAGTATTAAGCGATCAAACAATTAATTAACAGTTTATTGTTTCGTTAGCTTTCACTCAAACAAAAAGCACAACTTTTTGATGTTTTGTTTTTTGTCATTGAGTTTAGGTCTGCAATCAAATGGCATAACATGTGAAACCGATAGAAAGAGAGCACAAAATGTGAGATTCAGTTGACAGAGAAGAGAGTGAAGAGAGAGTATCACTATTTTTCCATCTCTTCTCAGTTCACACTTTATTCCTCTGTTTTATTGATTTCTCATCTCTTGACTGAAGATTGTATTTATAGGACGGCATCTATTGGTCTCCAATTCACTCATTTACACAAACTTATTATAATATATACACTATTTTATAATAATTGTATTTAGAATTAAAACTTATATTTTATTAATTTAAGACATTTATTTCGAGTTTTCGTTGACTTAATTGAGTCCTTTTTATCAAAGTATTATTAACTGATTTGAATCGATTGTCAAATAAGAAAGATTTCTATTACTATTTTATAATGAATAATTGACCTTGCCCCTCTGCGAAGGACCTGGTTAATGAGCATACAGTGTGTAAAGCTTACTGTTATTTTACTTTACTGTTATGTCTTCGTATTTTCTAGTGAATAATCATAGTCAATTGTTTCATGTACATTTATTAATATTTTAATTGTCATAAAATTTTTCTAAATGTTTGACAAGTTTGTCGGCCTTTTCTGGTTTTATTCCTAATTTGTGAGCCAATTGATGAGAAGTGGGCGCCTCCTCCGGGACCGTACGATAGGGCGCAGGATTAGTGCCCAACAGAATGTCTGGCAATTGATCGGCGGTTATGTAGTCATTGATGTTCTTCTTGGAGACAACATAGATGTATTTGGTTTGTTCGTCATTAAGCCACGATCGCACCATCTTATAAACCGCTTCTAATACTACGGGCATCTTATACACCAACGAAGAGTTCACTAAACCGGGATAGTATTCATTGAACACTGTGTGCAGAAATTTAAGTGTATCCATATCTGCATTCTTTATACCAGTCTCTCGACAGTCCATTAGTATTGTCAGCCCTTTATAACAATCAATTGTATTTATTATAGTATTTGATTGTAAAATTAATTTTGTTATTAACTAAAAATTATTACCATTTATATGTAACAAAAATTGACAAAACTAGTAATTTTAATTCAAATATATTTTATGTAATACAATCTGCACTTAATATAAAGGACTCGTATGAGCGGCTAAAATGGTATCATTTATATCAAATTGCCCTTATATCGAAGGGCAGACTGTATTAATATTAGTTTATTTGCATACCTTTGCCATCATTTTGTATGTCGACCTTTTCAATGATATAGACGAGATACTGATGCGCTGTTTTCATCCATGACTTGATTTTTTTGGACACTTTTCCCCTCATTATCATTACTGGAGAGCCATTACGATCGTTGCCGTAGACAAAAGCACCGGCACTAATATAACCCTCTTTAGTAAAGTCTTTATCACTCAAATCAAGCACACCATAAGATTTTCTCCATTTGAGCGCTTTATCCAACGCTTCCAACCCTTTATTAACGTCAACCTCTGATTTATAATTATGGAGAAATCGTCGGACAAACCAATCGTTTAATTTCACTTTTTCCACGTCTTTCTCGTAATATAATTCCGGATTCTTTTCCACTCTTTCCACAGCTTTTTGTCGCAACTCCTGAATCAGACTTTTGGATACTTTTTCCAAACTGTTTCCATACGAGTCAAGTATTGGAAATATTCTTTCACTCATTTTTATAATAACTAAAATTAAATATTAAATCAATTATAATTTATAAGCAATTTTGATACCTGTTATTACAAATATTTTTAATGCTATTAAATATTACATTCAACGCTACAGTTATATACACTGAAAACGCTGTCTATGACCATGAACACTACTTTATAACAAGTATTACCTTATCAAATGAAAAATATGTTTGTCAGCACTAATTTATAAAGAATTAAAATTCAAATGTCATTATTTTTGTAATTATATGACAAAATATTTATAATCCTATTTTTTATTTAAATTAAAATTTTTATTTGAATTTAATTAATACGTTATTAAATTATGTAAAAACTTAAATGTTTTACTAAATAAAGGGCATTTAATATATTTATCGTTAATTTTTAATCAGTTATTATAAAGCATATTATGTGTGATATAAAATTAAGTCAAAACTTATCTTATATAATAATTCATTTGTCTGCCACTACAATGAAACCCATTATAAATGCATTTACACCCTCTTCTCAATTAAAGGAATAAAACAAGTATTTCATTAAATTGTGAAATACTGTTCAAAGTGTTTACTCAATTTTTCAGCCTTTCCTTCTTTGAGACCTAATCTGTTAGACAACTCATGAGCTGACGGGGCGTCCACTGGAACCGTACGATACGACTGAGTGTTTGTCCCTTTGAGAAAGTGTGGCAACTGATCGATTGCGATATAAGAGCCAATAGTTTTGGTGTTTGTTAAATGCAAATATTTTTTCTCGTCTTCGCTGAGCCACGACTGAACCAATTTGTGAATAGTTTCCAAAACTGATGGCAACTTATGGATCAATGTTGCCGTCAAAAGGCGCGGATAGTAATCCTTAAACATATTTGTTATGAATTGTAGGGCTTCTGAATCCACGTTCTTAAGACCCGCACCCTTGCAGTCCATTAACAAAGTCAGACCTAAATTTTAATTATTACAGTCTTATAATTACTATTAATAGTTAATAATTAGCAAAATAAAGTGATAATTTGCTTCAAATACACACCTTTTCCATCATTAAGTTTATCTAATTTTTCAATTTGATACACAAAGTATCTCTTCATCGTTGGGACCCATGACTTGATTTTACGGTTAATATTTCCTCTGAATATGAGAAGAGTGGCGCCGTTTAAGTCTTTTCCCGAAACAAAACAATATCCGCTTCGATACAACTCAATGGGAAAATCTTTGTCACTCATGTCTAAAACTCCAAATGATTTTCTCCATTGAAAGGCATTGATTATCCTTTTGAGGGCCACTTCGACATTGTTTTTGCTAATTAACAAAAAGCGTTGTATCGACCAATTGGACGATTTTATTAGATCCACATCTCTTTCGTGATATAAGTGTGCATTTTGAGCCACATCTTCAAGTAGTCGTTGACGAACCTCTTCAACCAAATGCAATGGTATTTCTGCCGCCTCTTTAAACGCTGTATACGTTAAGCTTGACATTAATTATTATTTGACAAAACTCTCACAATTATTTAGCACTAACATTTTTTGTTTTATTTATTTTATATTTATACTCTTTCATTAACAGGAAATATTATAATAATGTTTAAATTTAGACTTTTAAAAATTTTGATTTTATTAAATCTCAACCGTTATTGTAATAATTACTCATAAAATTATCGTTTATTATAATACTAAAAATTACAAAATAATTAAAATATTATAATAAAATGAATATAACAATAAATCAATTTCAATAATACTATTATTATTCAAAACTATATGATTAGTTTAAATATAATAGATTTAATAGATTAATATTGTCAAATTAAAACTATTTCAAGAAAATTTATAATGTTATCAAATATAATGTAAAGCATAATAAAATTACCCTAAAAACCCACAGATAAGCCCACCCGCGTATAAGCCGGATCATAAAATTTTAAAAGTAAAATGTTCCCACAGATAAGCCGGTACCTATGTATAAGCCGAATTTAATATAACATTTATTTTGAAACTTAATTTTTGGGACATACTAGTTTACGTTTTTAAGTCTTATTAGTGATTGACTAGTTATCTAATTAAGTGTCTGTTGAAAATGTAATTTTAAATGTGATATAATTAGAGATGTTAGAAGTGAAATTTTGGGAAAGTTTAGGGCTGAATTCAGCCCTAAAGTTAGGGAAAGGTTAGGGGTCTCACTGAACATTAAGGCTAAATTTTCAATCACTCTATATTAGCGACATTTAATATTGCATATTATATTGCACATATTTACTATATAAATTACTAATTTGTGTAATTTAATCTAAATTATGTAAAAATAATTTATTCAAATACTAATTACAATACCTTATTTATCGTATCAGTATATTATTAGTTTGTAGAATCGAAATTTTGAATTTACATGTTTTAAGTAAAATATTCATAGAATTTGACAGCTTTGATGGCTTTGATTAAATGAATACTATTATTTTGTAATTAAACAATTTTAATAATTATGATTATTTGAATTAAAAATTAAAATTGTTTTTAATTAAAATATTTTATGAATAAATATATCCATAAATAAGCCGAACCCACAGATAAGCCGATTTTCTAATTTTTTCATAAAATGCACTTTTTTCATCAGATAAGCCGCGGCGTATCTGTGGGTTTTTAGGGTATATTATGTTTAATCCAATCAAAACATATTGAAATCATTCGATAAAGAATGGCTCCAAATGTTTAACCAATTTGTCGGCCTTTTCTACTTTAATGCCCAATCTTTCGGCCAATTCATGAGCGGTGGGTGAGTTGTCCGGTATATTACGATATGGTTCTTGATTTAAGCCCAATAAAAGATCAGGCAATTGATTTTGGGCCACATATTCGTGAATGTTCTTCTTGCTAATCAAATAACAATATTTCTCTTGTTCTTCATTGAGCCACGACTTAACCGCTTTATACACCGCTTCCATCACTTTCGGTAATTTATAGACTAAACCCGCGTTTACTAAACCCGGATAATAGTCATTGAGCACATGGTAGGAAAACTTCATAAAATCAATGTCTGTGTTTTTCACTCCGGAGTCCTTACAGTCCAGTAATAGAGTTGCGCCTAAATGTTCAACAAAAATATTGATACAATTTTGCGTAAAGTTAATTTAATGTTTGCAAACCTTTTCCCTTATTCATAGTCTCCGCCTTTTCCACTAAATAGACGAAGAATTTCTGAGCGGTTGGTATCCAAGACTTGATTTTGCGACTAACTTTTGCTCTCATTATTAGTAGTTGTGAACCATTGAGATCCTGTCCGTACAGAAACAGAGGCGCGCTTTGGAAGAATTGTTTGGGAAAATCCTTATCACTTAATTCCAAGACACCAAACGATTTCCTCCATTTCATGGCTTTGTCAATACTTTCCAATGCCTTCTCTTCATTGCACTTATTTTGGTTTAAAAATCGTTTGAGAGACCAGTCGTCGGATTTGATTTTATCAATATCTTTATCATAATATAGTTCCGGGTTTTTGGACACAATTTCCAGAAATTTTTGCCTCAATTCTGTAACCATTGCCACAGATATAGCAGAAGATTCTTCAAATGCGTTCAATGTTGGAAATGCCATCTTTTCTGTAATTCAAGTGTTCATTCATACAACATATATAAAACACATGTATAAAACACTTTATATTATTATTTCTATTATTATAAAAAATATTTATTATTTCCAAACATAAGTTTTTTAGTAATTAATTTTACAATATTTCAAATGTTTTATTAAAAATACAGTTAATAACATAATTGATACCAAAGTTTTTGATTATTTATTCTTGACCTATATGGACTTTAAATATGTAATTATTGGACATTAGAAGCATTTCTTCAAAGTATACTTTGAGTATTTTAAAAAATTGGTTTAACACCTGGTCTATGATTACCAGTTTATAGAGGTTAAGAATATTTAATCAAAAATATAGCAACAAATATGTTATAAAATCAATATTTTAAATAAAAGTTATAGATTTAAAAATTATGTTATCAAAATAATAAATTCATTTAAACATAACGTTATATACTGTAAATTGTGTATATTATGCTTTACCTGAAAATCCAAAAATGTATTCAAAATTTAAAAGAAAGATATAATTTGCAAAATTGGTGACAAATGTTGAGCACTTGAACAGAGCAAACACTGCAATGAAACTGATCTCTAGTCTTATGAAATCTAAGACCACATTAATGGCTCGTATTTAACTGATTTGTGAAATTGGCAAACAATACATACAAAGATCTAAAAATAATTTGGTCACATAATTATGATTTTGTTTGGAAATGTAGTAAAATTCCTCAAACTATTTCTAATAACAAAAAATTAAATGAAGGAATAGTTTTATTACTATTTCATTGTTTGTCGAAAACAAAAATAAAATTAGATTAACTCTAAAATAAAATAGAAATGTATTTCTATGTATTGTTAGTTCACTTGTTTTTAGTTTTGGTCTATTTTGAGTGACAATCATTAGAAATAGCACTACTCTATAATTGCTGTAATAGTGCGTAAAGCGATTCATTAAGATTACATAACATGTAATACTAAATATTATACTGTATTTCTACTTCAATTCAATATATTGTGTATTGTATTATATTTGATAGTTTATGTCATAAATTTGTTTATTTCCATATTTAAGATATTATTGCTGTTTGAAGTAAACATAAATTAGTTTTAAACTCGTTTTATTGTAATTAGAATTGAGATAAATTTTTTATTATCTAAACATGTAAATTGAAATACTATGCAATGTATAATTGACTGTTGGCTGATTTAAAGATAGGCAAACTTAAAATCATTTAAATATTATATCAACCATATGTCGAGTGTTTCCATAAATTAAGTAATTTTATAAAATGAGATCAAAATAATATACAATTATCACAAAACTGTTATCTTTTGAAATATATATTTAGAAAACTGTAATTTTGTTGTAATCATTAAATTTATATATTAGTAAAAATCACTGACACGTAAACCATTATAAATGTTATTAGAGATTAAATTAGATAAAAGAGTAAAAATGAATTAAATTACTTAATGATTGTTATATCGTATAATTACTCAATAATTTTATTTGCAAAAGGGTTTCTAATAATAATAAAACTATACTTTAATTTATAGCTTTAATAGTAAAATAAAGAGTTATAATATAATATTATTATAACGGTTATAATAACTTCAATAGTTATAAATTATAATAGGTTTTGATTTCAAAAGCGTAATCATTTATGGTGTACATAAATTGCCCAAGTTGTAAATGATTAATTGTTTACACATTTAATACAGTAATACAGAATTTACAGATATTGCATTTATGTAGTATATTCACCGAATACTATGTAACAAAGTAATGTAAACCTCTGTAAACACTATTCCATATTTATACAGTAGTAAAATTTAAAAAGATAATTGTTAATTTAATTTAAAATTTAAATCTAACAAACGTTTATTGACAGTTTTTAAAATAGTTTAGGGTGATTCGCATATTACGTTCGCACTTTTGAAGAAAGCTGTACCCTTGTTCTCAATTGTTCGCATGTAGTCATTTAAAAAATA